GTTTAACAGAAACTGTTTTGTCATCATTTTTTTGCATAACAATTTATGATTAATTTAAAAGAATTAAAATATCGTAAATTTATTATTTCAGTGAAATAACTTTCTACTCAGTGTGTTTATGTTTCGTCAATAATGACATGTATTGACTATTTCCATTCTAAATATCTTGTCTCTGTAAAAAGTCTCAGAGATGTTTTTGAGATATTTTTATCTGCAGAATATGCTGCCGAAGTTTCCGGAGCGCAGTTCGGATCACCCTGTATACACTCACCGGCACCGGCACGAAAAACGGGCACCTTAAGATATTGATGTAATTTAAAGATTAATATATTTTTTTCTAGTGGGTACGATTTTGATGTTTTTTTAAGCAATTTGTAGCTAAATTATTTGACTTTTTTTTTCCTTCTAAATTAAAAATGAAGTTTGTCATCAGTCAATTATACGAGGGAAAACAAAATCTTGATATTTTGATGAATGTTCCAAACATCCTGTGGAATATGTTAACAATGCAAAAAATTTAAAAATCATTGATGAATCAAATCATATTTTGATTCATCTCAATAGCTTTATTTTTATGGGAGATAATCGCTTTTGAATCAGACAGTAACGATTTATAGCAATTTTAGCTTTGATTTTGGGTCAAAATCAAATGCTAAAAAATATCTTCGGTGGCTGGGAGAGAAAAATATTGTAACAGGGGAGTCGATGAAACTGTTCTCTTCTAAAATTTATTGAAATGTGACATATCATGATGTACATGGTGGGTCAAATTCGACGCTTTTAAATGGAAACACCCTTTTCCATAGGAGATAGACGAAAATTAATATCGATGTTTGGAGCTCAATTTTCATCAAAAACATGATGGTGAAAACCGCACATCAATATCTTTTACCGTTTCGGAGTTACGGGGTGTTTTTCAAAAATGTGCATTTTTAACAAATCGCTGTAACTTTTTTGCTATGGAAAATTTTGCATTTCTATGAAAACATTTCCAAAGCACCTTTTTACGTAGAATCTAATGGTTTAAGTATATTTTTTTTTAAATTAATAATTTAAGAGTTATCAACACAAAAATTGATTTTTTATTTGGAACACCCTCTATAATTTTAATTAACTGAAAAGAATTTAAAATTACCTTTCCAAAAATATAGCACACTTGATATTTTGTTATAATCCCCTTCGAAATACAGAATTTTTAAAAGTTCGCCACTTTTAACTAGTAGGCTTTGAACCCCTTGTTGATGATAAGCCCTTAATATGGAACTCGAAAACATATTTTTCCAGCAAGACGACGCACCGCCTCTGAACGCTGAAGTTATCAGCAAATTTTTGCAGCCAATTTCAAGAATAACTGAATAGCTAACCAAGATCCCAGCCGTTGGCCGTCGAGGCCACCTGAGTTAGTGCCCATGGATATATTTGCGGAAGAATATAGGTTCCTTATTCTTCTCTATAATCTCGACAAGTATTAGAAATACTTAGCAGTTATGAGAGGGTATCTTTCACCCCCACTGAGTTAATGAATTCCGCGAGAAATGTTCATAATTATATTAATAATAAATTCCCGTCTGTCCATAACAGAAGACGGTCGATATGTCGAACACCTGTAGCAAAACCTCATGTCTTGGTTTGCTATTTATTTTTATTGTTATTAGATATAGTTTAAATGTGTTGATGTTGGTTAAATATATTTTAAATTGTTATAAAATTCTGCATCTCTCATAGCAAATATTATTTTCGTTTTAATTGATGCTCACAGCTAGAATTTTTTTGCATTACATCCGGTGCCGTTCAAAGCCTACTTATTTAAAGCGGGCGAATTTTTATATACTCTATATCTCGAAGAGGAATCGAGCAAAATATCAAGTGTGTTATATTTTTGGAAAGGTAATTTTAAATTCTTTTTAATAAATTAAAAATATACAGGGTGTCCCGTATAAAAAATCCAATTTTCTGTTAATAATTCTTAAATTATTAATTTTAAAAAAATTATACTTAAACCATTAAATATTATAAAAAAAAGCGTCGTTCGGCGCTTTTAAAGGGAAACACCCTTTCTTATAAGATATAGACTAATATTGGTGTCTGGAGCTTAATTTTTATTAAAAACATGATTGTGAAAACCGCAAAAAATCAATATCTGTTTCCGTTTCGGAGTTACGGGGTGATTTTCAAAAATGTGCATTTTTAACAAATCGCTATTACTTTTTTGCTATAAAAAATTTTGTATTTTTATGAAAACATTTCCAAAGCACCTTGTTACGAAGAATTTAATGGTTTAAGTATAATTTTTTTAAGATTAATGAAATTTTGGCATCTTAATTCCCGTTAATAAAGTCATGTCTCAAGCGTAGCCAAGAGGATATAAGCTTATATTAATGCAGTAAGAAATAAAATCTTATCTAATCCAGAAAATTATACCATCTCTATATGATAATATCATTGCGTCATGATTACAAGTATTAAATCTAGTGCAATAAACGTTTTGCCGTAATACCGTCACTTCTTACTTCTTGGTGTTTGCATCGGTGATACACATACAAGCGCAACGGTAGCGAAAGTGAAGACAAAACCACTTTCTTAACGTTCCAATAAAACATTTTATTTAATAGCGCCATTTTTCCTTTCTATCGATGGAAATAAACTGAAGCGAAGAAGCTAAAAGTATGTGATTAAAATAAATTTTCGATTAATTACGAAGGGGGAAATATATTTAGATGCTCCGGCGACTATTTTGTCCACTTTCTCTTCGACATTGAAAAATAAAAACAAATAGGTGTCTTCGTTAGACTGTGTCGCTTCATTGTTACTTTTTAACGTGTATTAAGCAGGTCAAAGTAATGATTATAATTAAATTTGTCACATAATTTAAAGGTTTTAATTCTGTGGATTACGTTTGTTACCTAGGGCCTCTGTATTATACACTTTATCATCTTGAGTTCCCCTTTTATGATACCATATAAATGGTATCATAAAAAATCACTCCGTATCATGACCACAGATAGACATGTAAAAAAAATATTTATTTTTTATGCATTGTTTTTTTGATTCAACATACCGGGTGTTGCATCGTCGGACGGGACATAGGAAATCCCATGTAAATTTTAATGGGGTCAATTATTGGCTTCCCTAATTGTTTTAGAGAATAATTCTATTTAGGTTTATTGAAGAGCACTAAAACCCACATTCAAAAGAATAACTTTAGATATTTTTGATTAGCTCGTCTATGAGTTATCGCCGATTTCTTTTTAAATATTTCTCCTTTCTTATGGCCCTATATTTACTTATGAGCACCAGTCAAGGTAAAAGATAACTGTCAAATAAAGTTGTCATTTCAGAAATTTACCTATTTAGTGCTTTATTATTATTGAAAACTCATTCCTACATCGGAAATTTTAAAGATGTATTTACAAATACAAATTAATATGAATTAAAGTAAAATAAAGTAATCAATTACAAGGTTAATTACAATATTCAATAACTTATTAATTTAGGTACTATTAAATTGTTAGAACTTTAGAATTTAAGATGTTCAAATATTCCTCCATCGACTGCTAGACAATAACCCATGCGATCATAAAATTCTCTTCTTACATTCGCTAGTTGGTAAACTGAAATTCTATTGCATTCGGCAGAAACAGCATTTTTTAACTCGTCTAGATTTGGGTATTTTTTATCCTTGTATATTCTATTTTTTAAATGACCCCAGAGAAACAAATCATTTGGCAAAATATCAGGAGACCTTGCTGGCCAATTTACTGTATGATTTAGGCCAATAACGTTTGCGTTAAAACTATTGTCTGAATATTCCCGAACAGCCAGGGTACTATGTGCCGGGCAGCCATCCATTTTGTACCAAACTTCCTGATGTTCACTAGCGGCATCATGTAAAGCAGATAAAATATGATTTTCGAGTAGTTCCAAATAATATACTGCATTTAAATTTTGCGTAAGAAATAATGGCCCGATAATATTGTGTCCGAATATCCCTGCCCAAACATTTACTTTCTGTGGATATTGCGTCCTTGTTTCGACAACCCTGTGTTGGTTTTCTTTGTTCCAATATCGATAATTTTGAACATTGGGTTCATTATTTACGGTAAACGTGTATTCGTCAGTGAAACATATGTTTTTTTAAAAATTCCCTATCCGTGTTTGCTCTTTCCATCATATCAAAACAAAACGCCTGCCGCCGCATTTCGTCCCTATCTCGTAGCTCTTGGTGTTTTTCATATTTGAAGGAATAGTATTTAGGCCGTTTCAAAATTAGAAACGCTGTAGTGTGATCTATTTCTATTTCATCTTCAAGTTTCCTTGTGCTGATCTTTCCATCGTTCTCTTCGACGCACAATAAAATTTGCTTCACATCTGCAGTTATTTATTAGGGTACCTTTGGTCCCAAATCTCTGGGTATTCCTTGCGATTGTAAATTTTCCAAGTATCGGTCTATTCGGATACAGAGCAGCAAACATGTCCAACACCTAGTTCGCTTCTTTTTTAGCTAAATCGTTAATTAAATTGTAATCAAACCGTTTCTTTGTTTACATACAGCTTGAATCATAGATTAAATATATTCTTCCTCTCAATATTAGAGAATATCATTAAGGTCAAGACGTTTAATAGCATTTTTCTGTTTACATCTGGTTTGTATAACTTGGGTACCCTTTATTTTGCACACTAATGTTTTTTTCTATTTATATTATTGGTCTGAAATATAACTGGTAGTGTCATCTGTCTAAAAGTGCAATCTATAGGCTTAAAGATAATGAAATTCTGCCTCAATCATATCTATGGCAATTTTTTTCTTTTTTTTTAATTTTCGGAAGTAGTAAACTAATACTCTATTTCACTAATTCAGAACAATTCACACGAGAGATTCTCAAATCAAATAAAAAAATAGATAAAAAAATCAATGATTGGATTTTTCAAATCTCTTTTTTTGTTCCCTTCAGATGAAGAATTTTAGATTCTTTTTCTAATATTATTTTGTATTTTTTTAGGAATTTATGGTCAAAAAGCTAGAGCACGTCGAAAAGATGAACCCGCATCGATATCGGAACTGTTCAACACTACCTCCTGTATACCAAAACCGTTCAAATGTCCTCACAAACAGATTCAATTCTTTCTATATACGAGGTAAGTTTAAAAAAAAAAAGAAATAAAATCTCCTTTTTTATATGTTATAATTAAACAGATTGATCATTCATTAAATTAAACAAAATTATAATTTAATTTTTAACTTTGCATTTACTGAAGAAAAGCTCAAAAGTATCTGAATAGATAGTCAGATAGTATAATTAATTGCAAAAGTTGTTTGTTTCATACACTGGGAAAATATAAAAATTCTAATATATCGGTTTATGTAACCATGAGGTTTTAATGGAAATTTCTAATTTAGTAAATGAATCTAGTCTGTGCTGCTACCTACTTAGTATCGTTATACAAGGACATTAATAAAAATTATTATACCGAGTGTTTCAAATTCGACTCTCACCATTGGAATCTAGGAAACGGTAAGAGATACAGCGTGGCTCAAATTGGTACTAAGTTACCTGTTGATGAGCCCAGCGGTAATCTGTTTAGTAGTGGAACTATTTTTGTAATGGTCATTTTGGGAAATATGGCAAACAAAAAATTTTTTGTTTTATCCTTTGATGAGGTGAAATAAAAGAATGAAACTTTATTTTCTATAAATATAAAGCAATTTCAAGAAGTTTATTTTCGATTGTTTGTTTATTTCGAACTTTTAACCGATTTTAACCACTAGTTGATTAAAAAAAGTATACCATTAATATTGCAAATTATATTTTATCCTCTCATAGTATATGTATTTAATTTTTTGAGTAAATAACGAGTACTTTGTTTACTCATTTGTTTCATCGAACTGCTTGAATCCATTTTTGCTTTTGATCAAATCTGTGTGAGAAACTATGAAGCTATAAAATGTTGTTTCGGGAGAATTGAACGTCCGGGAAAGTTGAATTATAGAATGTTATTGCATCCAATAACGCCCTAATTACGCTCTCCTTTACGCGTTAACATTTTTTCGTCAATTTTATTAACATTAGAAATTGTCACAACACAACATGACGCACAGTGATGCCGAAAACGCGAAAAGTGGCAAAAAATAATTTCTCAACTTATTACTATATTTTTTAAAATTATTTTTGTTAAATGTGGGTTTCTAAGTATATAAGTGATGTTTTAAATTCAGAAAATTTAATTATGTATACAGAGTGTACTTAAATTAGCTGTAAAAAATAAAACATGTGTTGTAAAAAATTTAATCATATTATTTTGTCTTTAACAGCATATTAATTTAACACTTTATTATTTGTAAAGTTTAAAAAATCAAAAGAAGTTTGTGTAAACACGTAAATAAATATACAGGGTTTTATTTTCAGCCCGTTAAGATAGAATTAGCATTTCGTTTTTAATATAATTAATCCTTTTTTCAGAACTAGTTACCAATAAGTATTACTTAAATTCAACTTAAAAAATATATTTATATTCATATCCATGAGAAAAAAAAGAAGAAAAAAAGAAACTACATCTGTATATTTTATGTAGTTACCTATTAATGAAAGTAACACCAAGACATCTAAAAGACTGAGCGCTCTTTTCGCATTAGATGTAAACAGTTGTTCGCTGTCAGCCATTTAATTTTAGTTATATTTTTAAATGTTCTATAATTTAGAAATATCTCTAATTCTCTCTCTTCAGTCCTGACCCCCATTAGGGAGTGTAGTGGTCAGCGTAACATCATGGATGATTTTTCTCCATGCGCCTCTGTCTTTTGTCATCTCGATGACATCGTGCATTGGCTTGCTACAGCTAGTCGTGATCTGGTCTATCCATCGAGTTGGAGAGCGGCCACGTGGTCTACGTCCCTCCACCTTGCCTTGAATTATGAGTCTTTCCATATTGTCCGGACTTTTCCTCATTATATGTCCAAAATATTTTAGTTGTTAAAGTCGGATTTTACAGGAAAGCCTGTTAGTAATATTAAGTTCATTTATAATGGAAACGTTTGTACGGCGTTCAGTCCATGGGATACGGAGCATACGTCTATAACAATACATCTCGGTAGCATCGATCTTCTTACGTTCCGCCTGCCTGAGAGTCCACGATTCGCAGCCATACGTCAATATTGGGAGTACCAAACAGTTGACTAGCCGGTTTTTGGTGGTTCTTGAAATCTGGCGGTCTTTCCAGATCTTGGTCAGTCTCCCAACAGCTACCTTTGCCATGTTGTACCTACGTTTCACCTCTTCTTCCGATGTGCCTGTATTTGTCAATAGTGATCCCAGGTATACGTATGACTTAACGACTTCAAAGCGGTCGATATGACTTATATTTGGATGGTTGTTATGTTGCCTATCAACTATCATAGTTTTGGTTTTTTGCGTATTTAGTTCCAGACCGAGCCGATTGCTTTCGTTTTCTACCCTATTTACTAAATTGGTTAAGTCTTCTTGACTGTTAGCGAGTAGTGCTGTATCATCTGCAAAGCGTAGATTATTTATTTTTTGACCATTTATTGAAATGCCTCCTTCCCATGTTTCTAGCGACCTTCTCATTATGTATTCTCCGTATATGTTAAATAGTTGAGGAGACAATCCCTGTCTGACTCCTTGTTCGAGGGAAAATTCCTGTGAAGCTGAATCCAGTATTCTAACTGATCCTGTAGTGTGCTTATACAACTGAATGATAAGTGAAATAAGGTGTTGCGGTACCCCCACTTCCTTTAAGATTTTCCACCAGGTGATGCCATCTGACTTTATACAAGATTGTATAATGAAGATTGAATCTGTAATTACCTGTGGTAAAAATATTATACTTAGATTATAATTAGAACTTAGTTACAAGAACTTAATACGCAAGAAAAAGAAAGTAAAAATTATCCTAAAGCTTCTAGATAAGATGGATAATATATTTAAGATGGGTTCAGCAAACGGATAAAAAAATAGAATAATTTAATCTATAATAAGTTTTAGAGCCTCAGGATGCTGTTCGACTTTAGTTGGCAGAAGAAGTTTTGGTGATATCTTACTATATCCGAGAAAATTAGTAGAAGGTGCTTGACATTTTTGATAAAAGTTGTTGACTGAATGTTGATGCATCATAGACACATTGACACATCTTTGTAGTTTGTATTAACAATAATTATTTAAAATTAATGAGATTTCTAATAATATTAAATTTAATGTCATATAAGCTGGGAAAAGCTAGTTAAAATTACACATTAAAAAAATATTTTTAAATTTGAATGCCTTGTATATCGAAAATTAAATTGAATAAGAGATAATAAATTACCAGTTTCCTTTCTAAAACTAATTAAAAATACCCAACAACAATATTTTACAGCACCTAAGAAACATCCAGTAATATACTGTCATATACGTAATTTATTTTGGGAAACTAAATCATGGTTTTCGGGAGAGTTAGGCAACCTAAAGGGTATTTGTGGGTTAATGTTGGTCCTGAAACTTTGCAGTTATGAAGAAGAAAAGCTGATCATATTTTTTTGGAGCAATTTGGAGCATTTTGTAGTAGCTTACCTAAAATATGATTTTAAGCAGTTCTTAATTACATCAAGGTCTTTATTGAATTTTTTTATGGTACCAGAGAAGTCAGAACTAGAATTACCATGAGGGAAAACAGTTGAAAAGATTGTACTTTCTCAGAGTACCACCAGTTTTTAGCTAATTTATCACCAACATTAAACGCAATAATTTTATTTAATCAAAATAATTTATCAGGGATTAATAATGGGCCCGTTTTTATTTAAAATTTATTTAAAAATCTTCACGGTTCTAAAAATATGGACTATTAGAAAGTATACGAGTGAAATTACAATTAAAAAAAAATACTTCTGATATTTTGATTTTTTTCCGCTATTGGGATTCTGCATCACTGTGCGGCGCCTAGTTCGGATTTTTTAAACTTATTTTTAAACGGTTTTATTTAGCTCGACCCGTACGGTATTTATTTGTTTGGGTCAAAATTAGAAATTGAAATTTAAGTACCTTCCTGTTGTCAGATTGATCTGAAATTTGGTACACACCTTTAGTTCCGATGACAATACAATATAGTAATATCAATAACATTGTAAATCTAAGATGGTACAAAATGGCGGATTTCATATTTTTCCACAACCCACTCAATATGGGTATCAAATGAAAGGGCTACACTAGTAGAATACTGTGATTATGACAAAATTTAAAATCCAAGATGGACGTCGTTACAAAATGGCGTATTAGGTGAGGGCATGAGTAGTCGTGTCCAGAACAGTTGTGTCCAAGATTGTATGACTTTAGAAGGACAGATAAAAAAAATAGGTGATGAATTTGTGAAAATGTTGCGGTCCAACATTGACGTTACAAAAGGATTGGTAAATGGTGCTATAGGCCACATTACAGAAATTGTTTGGCCTCAGTTCCGTCGAACCCAAATGTACGAAACAGATGTACCATCAGTTTGGATTGACTTTGTTTTGTTTGGCAGAGACGGCATACACGTTATACACCCGAAAGCCATACAGTTTCCAGCAAAATTCAATTATGGTACGGCTGAAAGAAGGATGTTACCCTTAATTTTGTCATGGACATCCACCGTCCATAAAATGCAGGGCAGCACAGTCGACCATGCAGTAGTGTATTTGGGCTCAAAATTGTTTGAGGAAGGGCAAGCATACGTGGCTCTAAGTCGAGTCAAGTCTCTGGAAGGGCTATGTACTGAGGAATTAGATTGTAATAAATTATCAGGTAAAAAACCATGTAATAATGATGCACTAAATGAATTAAATAGAATGAGGAATATTCGGTAGGCATTTCCGTTAAATACTAAAAACTAGAAAATAAAAAATCGGTAAAAAAACTTTTAAGTTAAACGGTTTTATCTCATGTGCAGTGAAAACTAGAAAATAATAACAATTAGGTATTTTGAACTTCTAGTTCAGAAATATTTTAGTACTAGGCAGAATAGCTTTTAGGCATATTAGACTAAAATAAAAACGTGGGGCCCCTCTGAAATCCTACCTATGGCAAAGCATATCTTTATACTTTGGTAGATCATGAGCTCGGCGTTCGCTGGTGAAGCCGCCACGGCTGGTTATTGATTGTCAAAATCTCCAG